TTGAACTCAATCTGCACTGTTTGGAAAGGACTTAAGGAATGAGCTCACTACTTGCAATTCAGCACTGCTGCCGCTACATGAGAGAGAATTAAGGTGCACAGGGGAAAATGAAGGGGCAAATAACATTTAAAGATTCTTTTTAGGCTCCTGAAATTAGGGTTGGGGTTTTAGCATTTTATTTAGTTCAGTATTGAATTTATCATTCAGTTGTTTTAATCTGAATACTCGCAAACCTCTTATTGAAACTATTTATGTTTAGTGTTAAAATAACTAACAACTAAAACTCAAAAGATCCAGTTGAAATCTACAGGTTGGGAAGATATTATAATAAGATATTGTGTTTCCCCTTAAAAATAAAATAAACAGTATATCAGACAAAAACGGAGTGAACTGAAGATAAAAATCAGTCATTCATCCCGTCACCTATCATCCCTCCTCTCCCTCAGGCCTGGCAGCCTGGCCACGGCAGGTGGAGGGAGGGCTGGTTTTGCATTTGGGGCAGCCATTTCAGTCAGAAAGTCTCTAAGAATTTGCTCAGTTTTAAGATATGTGGCAAATTAGGCTAAACAACGCTAATGCTAACACTTAACACTATAGCTAAACATACTGGCGGTGGATAGGAGACTGCTTGCAAAGGTTTTATTGCACTTACAGTAACAAGTGTAGTTATCATTAACTCAAGTAATACTCTTTATTTCACCTGGGTTCATTTTCTCCTCTGCAGCCTCTCTGCTCTGTTTATTTTGGTGGAGGAGCTCAGCCCAACCCCTTAGACAAACATTGGCACAGAGACCAGAGGAGAGACAGGCCAAGAGGAGACGCTGCTTGGGTGACCATAAATTACACCAAAATAATAGTTATTACTAAATCAGAACCGAGTTTTGAGACGCATCCTTAAAGAACAGTCACTCACACTGGTGTGCCAAAAAATGTGTACACATTCGCAGGCTTTTTCTTTCACGCCCACCACCTCTGCTAACCATTTCCCTGGGGAAGGACCTGTATTCCTATATGAAGAGTGTATGTCAGTCTCGCTCTGTCTACAATGCTCCCCTATGCTGACGGCTGGTGCTTTTCCAGAGGGCTGGATGCCATACTCATCTGTGCACTGGCCTGGTAATTAGCTGCTTCCAGCTGCTGTGGGACAGCGAAGGCAAGGCTACAGCTAACCCGAGGTCAAACCCAGAATAGCACAGGTGTCAGATAAGAGCAAGGAGGTCAACCGTTTGGAGAAGACCCACCATATAATCACATTATTTAACCTTATCATCTTCTCTTGTGAAGAGTGCCACTGATAGATGTTGACTGATAATTGGTTTGTAAAACAGTTACGTTTTTTACTTGTTTTGGGCCCCAATAAAATGTATATGGCTAGCACAGTGCTATTAACAAATCATTCCAATGGAGGACAAACTTTATCTTAATATTACAAATTTCAATGGAAACAACAGTTGTCATACTGCTTTGGCACTGACCTCTTGTCCAGACCTGGCCGAGTTCTCTGCTGAGTGCAGGGACTCGATCTCGCCCTCGATCATTGCTGCCTCAAGACATTCGTGGAGATCCTTGAAGCCATTCACCTGCAGAGGGTACTGCCCAAACATCTCTGTGTTTTCAAATTTTTTACCTGTGGAATCACACACACACACACACAGATTAATAAACAGGTTAACCCTATGAGGTAGTTGGGTGCTCTTATGTATCTTATCACACACACAGGTCAAAGATGTGCCAAGCCATTTCACACTTGCTTGCATCCGAGCTGATTTTCACTTGTTCAGCAGTCACTCACTCATCATTTAACAGCTGCACAGACCTCCGTGCATCACCGACTGAAGAGAAGCCCCCCGCCCACCCCCACAAAAAAAAAAAAAGGCAAGGAGAGGAGTTGCTAGCGGACATGCAGATGAGGCATTAAGGTCATTTTATGAGCAGCAGAGTCCACTGGCCCAGCTTTTGGTGGCTTTGGGCCAGTATTGTCATGCATAATAAGCACAATGTCAATCAGCCATCAAGGTCTTCCGCGATCAATGCAATCGCTCTCCTCTTTTACATGGAGCACATCTCATTAAGACAAGGTCACCTTTCATTACTAGGGGCAAGGACTTGCTTGCTTTCTGGCTGCAGCAATCAGACCATGTTAATTCTTTATCTCTCTGTGATACTCTAGCTGCCCCTCACTTTTTTCTCTTTATTGGTTTTAATTTAAAACCTCATCTCACCTTCCAGGACACCCACAGCAAGGAAGCGGCCGTAGAAAAGCTCCACCATAGGGTTCTTTGGCTTTTCGCCCTCCCTGAAAGCAAAGAAAAGAAGCTGCTGTTCAAAAACATAAGCCAAAGTTTATAGGAGGCCTCTCTGATTCAGTTCCATGTAAACAATGTACATTTAATTCTCTGCTTCAAAATGTGCTGCCCAATAACACCGACAAGCATGCAAGTCTACTGTATGTTCATTCATTCACAGTGACCTCTGGATATAAAAAGCTGTGGTTACCGGTCTTCTTCAGCCTTCATCTGGAAGGCGTCCTCCAGCCAGTCCAGCAGCTTGTGGGTGAACTCACTCACGTCCTGCTGTTGAGTAAAGCATAGATGTACATACAAAATGACTAATTATGGGACTGCCTTGGAGGTCATGGGGTCAAACTACAAGACTTAACTGCACCTATAAGCAAGAAAGTCCAATCAGTCAAATCAATGCAATGTCTGTCAGCTGCTAATATACACTGAGCTTTGGGGAAAAGATGACTCGTCTTAGCGGAGGAGTTCCCTCATTGCTGAACTTCAAAGGGAACCTGCATGTCACAAGGCCACTCTCTCAGACATCAATGCCGCCCGGTAATTCAGGTCAATGCCTCTCCAACCTGGCTAATACACAGACTAGTGACATGATGGATGAGTACAGAGGCCAGAAGGCTGACCCCAGTTAACCTCAACAGAGACACTGGCTTACGGCGAATGCTTATGTAAGGAGAAGAACAGAACAGTTTTGTACATTTGACACGTGTTTGTCCCTTTATAGGATATCTGCACAAAACAGCTAATTCCTAGTCAATATTATTTTTTGCAGAGTTCAGAGGGGATGATGTGGGTTTGAGGATTAATAGTTATAGATAATAGAGGCTAAGGGTCTCGGATTCAGTTGAGCTGAGTCAGTAGAAGGACAATGAAATTGAGCTGTCAAGCCTGTTGAAAGGAGTAGGCACAAAGAGGGGATAAAGGGTGTTAAATATTTCCGGTAAGGGCGAACCGCAAAGAAGTGCTTATTTTCTATAGGACAAAATAAATAATTAAAAAAGACCAAATTTCATACTGTTTGGTGGAATTAAAAGTGCTTTACAAATGACTGAGAAGCTGCACAGCAGCACTCACCGTTTATTTACATCTAGATTTATTCTAATATCATCAGCTACTTTTACAAGGAGTGTCTTTGTACTATAATAATAAGTTAACAAACAGACTTTACTTCCACATGTGGGTCAACTGCTGCTTGCGTGTGAAAAATCCAAAACAGGAGTTGTGTTTTTTACTGAACTACTGAAAGTCAGCAGACAGGGAGAGAAACCGAAACAGAAAGAGGCGGGCACAGTTTATTCACGTCTAGATTTATTCTAATATCAGCTACTTTTACAAGGAGTGTCTGTGTGCTATGATAAGTTAACAAACAGAATTTATTCCTTCATTTGTAGTTTACTGTTTGAGTTCAGAAAACTATTAATTTGCATGAAGAGCATTTTATCTAAAATTTGACTCAAAATTGGAAGATTAAAAATTGGTCTGTAGACACCAAATTAAAAACTTGTTTAAAAAAGAAAAAAGAAAAAGAAAGGTTGGAATTGGATCAAGTATGCAAGTGGAAGATTCTGCATTTGCCAGCTCCATCTGTAATGTGAAGCCATGTGTTTTCCACTATATAATAAAGACGCTATCTGGGATAAAATGTTTGCCGTGTCTTTGAGTTCATCGGCAGGAGCTATGAACACAGTGACAAAAAATTCATCTCTCAGCTGCTAGCCGTAATGAAGTTCTCTTCACTGAACATTAAGTGAATGTTATTATGTCAAGCAGTTGTGGCAAAAAGAGGCTTACCTGCTGTGACTCACTGGACTTGAAGGCGTCCTTGAGAATTTCCACAGCTCGTGACGGATCCACATATTTCCTCTTGGACCCCACCATGAGGGAGAAGAGGTTCCTCAGCTCCTGCATGAAGGGCAGGTTCCTGTGCTCCTGGTCAGAGTAACACAATCAACAATTTCTTCATCAATCTTCAGAACCAGTGTTCCTCAGGGAAGCTAAATATTTCCCAACAAATGTACTCCTGTTTGAGTAAGGTTTGCTAAGTACTACAGTGCCAAGCTGTTTTAGGAAATTATTTAGCCTTTAAAAAAGGAGTAGTCATTTTTTAAAACTATGCATTTGTGACCCATTCTTACAGATGTACAGCTTCAGTAAGAACAACAGTGCTGCTGACAGGCTGAGGAAGTAGGAGAATATTAAAAAAAAGGTTTTGGTGTTTTCATGGAACAAAAAATACAGAATGTCTTATCATTTAGGGCATCAAGAGGCAATAATGTCAATTTACTTAAAAAGTGAAACGATTTTGGATTTGGGGGTTGGCATTTTATGGAGGTCCTGATATGGAACTATGAGGTTAATGATCTCAAAATATTTGATACGCATAAAGAGCTTAACTGGACACTCTCCTTTATTTAACATGCTGCAATCAGCGCACTAATCTCTCCAGAGATGAGTGGTCACTCTGTTGAACTACAAAAACAGTTCGCTCACATCCGTCGAGTTACAGAGTGACGTGCCTTTTCACTCTCAAACAATCTTTGGCAGATTATAGTCAGCGGCTTGGAGAGAGCACATTAACCAGCAGGCAATAGTGACATTATGACAGTGAGGCAGAGAGGTAACAAGACTTACAAGTGCATAACACACTTATTTATCTATGCTGGTGAGTCAGGGATGCTGATGTAAGATTAGATCCTAAGCTGTAGCGGTCTCGTACTGCTAAAGTAAAAGGTCAGTGCTCAGGACCAAGGGAACTGATATGACTGCCTCAAGCCACACTTCCACAGCAGAGGCTTAGACCAGATTAGCGACAGGCTGCTGACCCTATGGTGAACACTCTGTAAGGAAACTATGGACAAAAACAAAACATGCCGAGAACTGCTCTGCCAAAATAGCGGTGACTGCCGCTAGACAAATTTGAGCACCTCAAATCTGACAAACTCCAGGATCAGTCAAAACAGTCATTTCTGCCCTTGTGGAGAAATACAGAGGTTTCATCACACATTTCAAACTAGCTGGGACTTCGAGTAGCTTGCTAACAGTGACTTGTGAACCACCAGGGGTAAAACGCTAAGCTGCTGTGACTGAGGGCAAGATCACACAGCTGTAGAATGGTGGCTCACAGCTCCAAACCCTCAGAGTTAAAGCACTGCTATCTGCTGTGACAGGCTATAGAAGAGCTGCTATGATATAAAGAGAGCTGATGCAAAGTTACACACACACATTTTTCTCCGGTCACAACCCTCCGAAGAAGGGTAGTGGTCTTACCTTCTGGTTGCGAGGCAGGTCGTGAACTCTGGCTGGCGGTGAGTAGTGGAGCACCAGTCTCTGGAACTCCAGCAAGTTGAACAGAGACTTGAGGTTGGAGAAGGATGAAGACATGTTAGTAATATCCAATGAAACTGAACTGAAAAATCCTGTGCTTTCTTAATGTACAGAGGCCTTGCTCCATTTGGTGTCTATTTTCTACATTTTCCTAATCAAAACAATTGTGCAATTACATTAAAGGACCAGTGTGTAGCATTTAGTGACATCTAACAGTGAAATTGCAGATTGCAACCATTGGAATA